GGTCGCTGCTATATTGTTGTTGTCGTCCTTTTCTTGTGCTGCTGGCTTACACACTCGAGTTAGATCGGAGGTCAACACCCTTCAACGAACATAACAGACCCTTGGCAGCTGCAATATGGCCAAAGATGCACCCAAGGGTAAACCTTTAGCCTCAAAGGGTGAGCAATTATTGAAAAAAACAAGACCTGACCCCTGAGTCTGAGACTACCGCAAATCATTAGTAGGGACCGTCTGGCCAGGCTGAAGGCGAACTCTTTGATGCCACTGCCGAGTGAAAACTGATGTCTGTCACTTGTTCTCCTCGCCTTCTTCCTCGCCTTTCTTCTTAACAGGACGGTCGAGAGCGAGGTCGTCCCCGAACCAGTTCTGAAGAGCTTCTGCCAACGTCTGCTGGTACAGGTTCTGATTTTTGTCACAAATCAAGCGAGCACACTGCAAATCTGCGACATTCTGCAACCAGACCAGGTGTGTGTCATCGAAGACGAAAGACGTGATTGGGATGCCGAGGGCGAGGGCGGCACTTCCCAGGGCTCCCGATCCCGGGGATACGTCCTGGATGTCGACGATGGAATAGTTCTGGAGAAGAATCTTGTACGTGGCAACCGTCTTGCCCTAACTCATTCTGCTTGGCTGCAGCTGACATGGTGAAATTAACTAACTAATTAGCCAGATAAGTTGAGCCAAGAAACCTTCGTTCCAAAATAATGGAACGGCTGAGCTGTTCCATGACGAGTGAGCGTCCGGCTTGAGACTCATGATGTTGGCCTTCTGGTCCCGTGCAATCCTCGGAAGCCCCAAGTCTCCGATATTGGTTTTTACCAATCTTGAAACGGTTACCGATCTGCGCTTGGTTTTATGTTGCGCTTGGTTTTACCAATCTTGCACGCTTGGTTCCTTGGTTTTTCCAATCTCAAGTAGATTTGATATCCTGCTGCAATATCGATCTTTGCTCAACTCGCTCTCGGTTTTCGTCTGTCTTGCGCTTGGTTTTATCAATCTCAGTTTTCTGCACCACATACACAAAGATACACACGACACACATACATCTACACACTCACACTTACAGACCTGGAAATGTAATCTAATCTAATATACACATACACACACACACAGACATATATACATACATACATACATACATACATGCATACATACATACATACAAACATACATACATACATACATACAACCCTCCCAGCCAACCACCCAGCCGCCCAGCCACCAACCCACCCAGCCACCTGCCCACCCACCCTCCCACCCGCCCACCCACCAACCCACCCACCCACAAAAATACAAATACGTATATGTATGTATATATATATATATATACACACATATATATATATAAATATATATAATACATATTTATTTGTATATATGTATATTTTGGTTTTTATACCTGTCTAGACATATAGATATAGACATAACCCTAAGTTTTTCCTACGGCTGCAGGACATGGTGCAGTTGCAATTTCCTGCAACTCATTCGATCGTGTCCTAGGATCGAAGCTTAGCCTCGACAGCCCGCGAGCTGCTGTGAAGGCAACAACCATATGCACGCTGAAGCCGTTTGTTTTGGAGCAAGCCCTGGCACCTTTAGATCGCGATGCGACGAGGACGTCAGGCTGTGAAAAGCATGTGCTTTTGAAGATTTTGTGTTAAGATTTGTCTCATTAGAATAGGAAAGGCCAGCCCTAATGGGCGATCTCGCTCGCCTGTGCAGCGAGCCGAATGGCGGCGGTGCTGGATGGCCGATGTGGTAAAGGGAGAAACGTTTCTCCTCGGCATCTAAACAGTACTTCTAGCAGAAGTAGTCATTGAAACCTGCCTGCAGGGTCTGGCGGTGGAAGTGGTTCATTCGCCACGAGACGACGACCTCTGCATCAGTTAAACTGTAAGACCCTGAGCGTTCACGCTTTTCCTGCTTAAGCCAAAGGCGCTGCGTCCGGTCGACTATACAACTATACAAGTGATATACCGTAGCCTAGGGCTCACCAAAGGTGTGGGGCGTTTCCATGTACAAGATTTAACACCCTGCCTCGAAGTCCTTGTGCTGTACTTCGTGTTTGGTCTGCGGTCGGGCATACCTCCGCCCGTGACTGCATAGGCTTTGCCCTTGCTAGTCCTTGGGTTAAACATTCCATGCAACCCACCTTTTGACCGTCCCCCAATTAGGGAGGTGTGTCAGACCGTCCGTGTCCTGACATTCGTACAGTAACAAGTACTTCGCTTAGGTGAAACCATTCCAAGAAACTTACAGCTTCAGCGCTCTTCTTCTTTTACGCTTCTGCTGTTTTCGTTCCGAGTGAAACTTTTTCTTGTCTTTGCCTACACTCACTTCTTCTCCTCACGTTCGTTGTCGAGGTAGGTCTTACTGACTTCCTGGGTCACCATTCTCTTCTTCCTGACCCTGCTCCATGCGAGTCCGCTCGCAATACGCTTCGTAGGAATCCTGACATTCCTGGGGCATTATCATATCGCCCATTTCTTCCACACTGATCATTCGTCCTTGATACTCAATCATTTCAGGCTCCTTTGCCTTTTCACTTCCGGTTGCTTCTTCACTTCCGGTTGCCAGTCCAGACAGAACTCTTCCACCACGCTGGTAGTCTTCCTCACTGATGATTGGCATACGCACTCCATCTACTTGATCCATAGCGGCTTTTCCACGCTTCCGCAATGATCCCTTACCGGTCTCTCTTTTCTGAACTCCGGTATTCCAAGAGTGCATTCCTTCACCACGCACTTCGCTTGATCCTTTACCAGTACAGTAGACTCTTCCTCCTTGGTGGTGTCATAATTCTTTCTCCATTGGCTGGTGGCATACCTTTCAATGCAACGACTGCATGCGCATTTCTGGTGGTTCTTCTTCTCCCTTGAGCATCGGTGTGATCCACACCAATAGCACATCTTTGTGCATTCTCCGATACTGTCCACTTCGTACTCCAACACATTCTCCATGAATTCCCAGTCATCGTCTTCCAAGAATACGGGTCTTTCTGCTTTTCCCCGCTTCTTACGTAAAGTAGGGTTCCTGTAAGATCCTTCCGGTTTTGTTTCCGGAAAACAAACCCAACATGCTCTGTAGCCTTCGCTTTCAGCATCGCTCATATCTTTCCATAGCCACTTGCCGGGCTTGTGGTGCGGCCCTTGAACGTGCCAGCATGTTCCACGGTGATACACACGTGCTCGTGAACCAGTGCTGATTTTCACACGTCCAATGCCTCTCAGCCTTTCCACGGTCTTCAGCATTCTCGTCCATACAGATAGGACATACGGCACTGCAAGCATGAATACACATACCATCATGCATACCTCGAATTTCGTGAAACTTCCGTCCATGGCTTCCTTGCTTTCTCTTTGGGCGTCCACTACGTCCTCCTTGAGCAAAGCTGCGGTGATAGGCTTCATCAGATGAAATACTTGTATGGCTCTTATGAGGCTTTTAATCTGTCCGCTTCCGACATACTCTTTCAACCTCTTTTCCTGCTCGTGTCTTTCATACTCTTTCTCTCCTGTGCGTTCCAAGTTTCCATCTTCATCATACTCTACTTGTGACAAGTGATACAACAGAAATGACCTTCGGGCATACGACAACTTCTTGGTGTTTAGGTCCGCTACATTTAGCGCGGTTCGTACCGTACCAAGCTTTACAAGATTGTCTCGTACCCAATCTTGCAGTTGACACAGCCTAACATCCACATGCTTCAGGCGTCCAACTCCTCTCCGTTGGCTCCACTGTCGTGCAGATGAGGAATCGCACCGTATCTCCACGCGTACGGGCATGTCTACTAGGAACTCGAACAGCCTTCCGACTAGGATAGCTTCTCCACAGGTTCCACTCAGTGCGTACAACTCTGCTTCACAGCTTGATGATGATGTGGCTTTCTGGGTCCTTGAAAACGATAACACCTGTACTCCGTTCAGTACGATGATTCCCGATGACGTACTCTTTCTTCGAGCTTTCTCGGGTGTCTTCAAACTTGCCCAATCACTATCTGAATACGCTTCCACCACATGTCCTGATCCACTGCTGATTTCTTCATCCTCTTGACCATTCAACTTCGTAATCAACCGGCTCCCGATTTCGGTATACGGTAAAAGAGTAGCTCTTGTAGCTGTCCCACTCAGACACAAAATCAAGTGCTTCAGACACTTTAGTGCCTGCACCGTCGGCTTCGACATACTTGATGCCAAACATTTCGAGGCATACTGAATGTCAATTCTGTCCTGTGCAAGGTACAAGATAGATCCGAGTCCAGATCGAAACCGTTTTGTCTCTTCAGCACTCAATTCTTTGCTCCGGTCTTCCTTCACCAGATCCACATGCTCTGGTGTGGCCTTACTCTTCAACCTTCCAAGGTCGTACAATTCAATCAGCTTCCGGACATACTTCTCGTTGGGCTGAACAACAATTCCTTCACGGGTGAAGACATACTTCCTCTTGAGATATCGCATCTCTTCTCCGTTTCCTAAGCCACTAGAAGGATAGGGTCCTTCTTTTTCCACCTTGAAGACTTTCTCCAATTCTTCAACCAACCAAATGGTCTCCTCCTTTTCTCCCGCGAGTAATTCATCATCCACATGGATCGAGATACAAAGCTTTCTGGTGATGTGTCGAGCTAATGCGGGTACGTGAACTGAGAATACAAATCCAAGTTTCTCCAGTATACTCCGCAAATGTTCATACCATCTTGTTGCGGCGTTCCGCTGACCAGGCAAGCATCTCTTCAACCTCCACAGCACTCCTTCTGGCAGATTTGCTGCTCGTTTCATCCAATCACTAATCGTGATGAGTACCTCTTCTTGCTGCGGGACCTGAAGGTACGCGTCCTTTATATCTAGGACTACTACTACCCATTGATACACCAGGTGTAACAACAAGACTAGGCGCGACGCGGCGTTGCTCGCGGTTGGGCTGAATGTCTCAGCCGTAGAACTGGCGCCTGCCCTGTACTCCCTGGCTACTATACGACACCTTCTTTTCCACCGTCCGTCACGATGCCTCCAGTCGTAGACTTCACGCAAATCCATGCGCTTTTCATCTCCTGTCGCATTCGCCTCCATGAACTCCTCGATCACTCCAAGTTTACTGAGGCGGTTAAGTTCTTCCACTGCTGCTTCCTGATCTAAGCCATCCAATTCTTCCGGACTTAGTTCTGGTGGGGTCTCTCCCTGATCATTCTTTGGTGCTTCTTCCATTTCTTCCTCCATGAGGTCTTCATACTCCACGTCTTCTCCTTCTACTGCTGTGAGGTCCTCATGTTCATCCCAATGGAATGGGTCATCTTCTTGTGATACCCTGCCTGCGAACAAAGGCGGGTAGATTCCTCTTGAAGGTGATGATGGTGCTGATGGTGCTGATGGTTCTTCACGGGACTTCTTTGGTGATCCTTCAATTCCTTGGCCTCCTTCTGCTGGTCGTTTCCTCAAATCTTCCAGCATAGTGTCATCGCTGACAATTGCATCTATTCCAGATGCTCCAGAGGGTACATCGTGCATCGAGCTTGAACTCCGCGAATGAGAACTCGATTCGATACTGGCCCTGCCTCCGTCAGAGGCCCTGCCTCCGCTTGAGGCTCCACTTGTGTCCAGCATATCCAACAATTCTTCCACTTGTTCTTCCTGAGATTGTCCTCGATCT